AACCTGTCACTATTACAACTATTAATAGCTTGCCTTGAAATCTCTTAAAATAGTGTTCAATTATACTGATTCTGAAACTCACAGTGAAGAGTTGGCAAACCTCAAAGTTGTTCATGAGCACTATCTAACCACTTTTCAAATTTCTTAGTATCCTAGCAGTAAGAAGTTAGACAAGGAGAACTCAACTAACCCTAACGCTACCATGTTACAAGATTACAATGGCATCTCACAATATGCATTAACATTTTATCTGATAATGAACTTAGACAAAGATGAGAAAGTACAGGGAGAAGATTCAGATGGGCTTTGCTTGGAATTAAGTTTAACATATACCTATATACCCTAACAATATACTTAGTGGTACATTTCAGTTAGACCAGATTTAAATAGGCCTTGTGTTTTAGACACTACCACCTAGTTAATCAATAAGACATATGTAAAAAGTCTAGGGGCACCTGGGTGGCTCAATCGCTTAAGTGTCCAATTTTGGCTCAGGTCATGGTCTCACAGTTCGTGGGTTTGAGCCTCATGTAAGGCTCTGCACTAACAGCTCAGGGTCTGGACTCTGCTTTGGATTCTGTGTCTCCCTCTCCCTCTATCCCTTCCCCATTCACCCTTTCTTTCTCTCACAAAAATAAACACTTAAAAATTTTTGTTTAATTTAAAATATATGAAAATGGTTACAGAGTAAGGCTCATCTTGAGATCTATACCCTAATAATCTGATATAAGTAAATATTAAGCAGAATATATAAATAGTAGTAGTTAACGTTTCATGGGTACTTACTTCCTAGGCATTACACTAATCATTTTTCATATATTAATTAGATGTTCAAAACCACCATATGAGGTAGGAAATATTACTGTCTTCATTTGACAAATGAGGAAGCTAAGGGACAGAGAGAATACTTACAGCACCAAATTCCATGGATCAGACTTTATTTTTTTTTAATGTTTTATTTATTTCTAGGAGAGAGAGAGAGACAGCGTGAGCAGGGGAGGGTCAGAGAGAGAGGGAGTCACAGACTGAAATAGGCTCCAGGCTCTGAGCTGGCTGTCAGCACAGAGCCCGACGTGGGGCTCCAACCCACAAACCACGAGATCATGACCTAAGCGAAAGTCGGACGCTTAACCGACTAAGCCACCCAGGCGCCCCTATGGATCAGACTTTAGAAAAACTGTTCTAGAACATATGCAAAGTTCTTTGTTGGCTTGACTGCAAATTCCTTGCCTAAATACTTTTTTGTTGTATAAGCTGAATTATATATCATGGGTGTTAAAAAAGCCATGATCAACCATAGAACAGAAACTAGATTCTGGAAATTCACTTAGGGTGATGATAAAATTAAGGCTTAATTATCAAAACATATGGAAACTCCAAGGCAATCTGCATCCTTCCCACAGACTTGAGTCATTGAGGACTGGCCACAGTGGGGAGACTTTGGTCTCCTGGGGATTATCCTCAGACAGCCAGAATGCAGTGAGGTTTAGTTGAGTGCTGGCCTGGAGAGAGGCTTAATCTCAGTAGAACTATGTATCAATGGCCTCTATGTTTTCATGAAGGAGACTAAATTGATCACTGATTCCTTTGTATCACTAAACGATAAAATGTCAAAAACTCAAGATTAAACAGGGTAATGTAATTTACAATAAACATTAGGTAAAACAGGAACAGCCTTGAGACTAAAAATAAATATATTACAATTTGCCAAAAGAATGTACTAAAAGGTGATATTGAAATAAAAACAGAGTCAAAAGGTGAGCCCCCCAACCAAAGACCAAAAAGTGACTTGGGTCCTCTCTTGGGGCTTGGTGGGGTTGAATCCTTGAGGACCAGTACCTTTTGGATCCCTGTAGACTAAAGCCTGCATATTTTTATATCTATGTACTTATTCCAAAATACTTTTATAGTATTTCTAGGTCTGATCCTAAATACTTTACAAATACTTATTCAATCATCAAACAACATTATGAGGTAAGTACTGTTATTAACACCCTCATTTATAGATGCAAAAGCTGAGGCATAGAGAGGACAAATTATCTGCCTTAGGTCACAGAACTAGTAAATAGAAATTGAACACAGACCAACTCCATACCACTCATTTTTAAACACTATGCAATGTAAAGAGGAAATGTGGAAGTAGGAATTTAGTCAGAGACATTAATGTTGGTTTTCACATAGTTCTGAAGTGTCATCAGAGACTATAAAACTTTATTTTTTAAAAATTTTTAGTGTTTGTTTATATTTGGGAGATAGAGCACAAGTACAGGAGGAGCAGAGAGAGAGGGCGACACAGAATCCAAAACAGGCTCTAGGCTCCGAGCTGTCATCACTGAGTCCAGCCCGTGGCTTGAACCCACAAACCGTGAGATCATGACCTGAGCTGAAGTCGGTGTTTAATCAACCAAGCCACCCTGGCATCCCAAGACTGCAAAACTTAAAAAAAACAAAAAACAAAAAACAAAAACAAATCTCAATGGGCTTTGGTTGGAGGATAATGAAATCAAACACTCCATAAAATGAACGTCCTAGCTTTTGGGGTCTTAAATTGCTAAGTTGTCTTTGTTAAGAAAAAGTATGTATCCACACATACTTAACATATGTACATACATAATTTGCAGTTACATTTAAATAATAAACTATAGATGATTTTTTCAACTGTAAAATTTGCTCATGAACAGAGAAAGAGAAACAAAACCTAAGGTCCCATAGGTCAAATTATATTATTTTCTTTTTTGGATTGCTAAACCATTGTTTGCAAAGTCCTCACTGGTAGGATAACATCAGGCATCATGACGGAAGGAAGTAAACTTGCCTGGGTCTGTAAAGCCTTGTGACTATGGTAGCCTTTCTTAAATAGTGTAGACTACCATGTTGGAATGGAATTCAAAGACTACAAGTATACGAAAAGATGAGCTTTTAAAATATGATCTGATTCACAACCAAAAGGATCATTAATTCAATATTGTTTTGTCTTTCTATTTTACATTCATTATGTATTATACAGTTAGCCACTGGCAGCTCCTTAAAACCATTCAAAGACCTGCACATTCGAATTAATGCTTTTGGAAAACTGTATTCCTTCCACATGAGATGGCAAAACCTCTTAATTTCTTCACCAGAGCCTCAGTTTGAAAGATAATACAGAAATATCCAGGCAGCCATTAGGTCTGAAATAAATTCTTGGATGTTTAAAGAAAGGCTGCTTGACCACTGAGTTATAGGTAGGAAAAGGACATCTATTATACAAACAAGTGAACTTATCTATCATATTTATTCAGGTGCCTACTGTTTACCAGTACTGCAGACACAATGATGTACCACAAACACTTATTCCTGCCTTCATGGTACTTGGAGACTAGCCAGAGAGATGGGCCATCAAATGATTGGGGCAAGGGGTATATAATTACAAGTGGCGACCAATGATATAAAGAAAACAGTTCTTTGAGTGTATAAGCAAAGAAACTGGCCTAAACTTGAGGTGAGCGGAACCTAGGATGGATGTTCTAAGAAGCAGAAGATCATTCCATACAGAGGAAAACAAGAATAAAGAAATATCACATGTATAAAACCCATTCTGTGGTTGAATGAGCACAGCATCTTCAAGACCTAAAGGAGTACCCATATGGATGGTGACATGAGGAGAAAAGTGGCACAGGGTGGGAGGAAGTGGTGGCAAATTAGTCTGACAAAGAGGACCACATGGGGCCTCACAGACACCACTATGGGTGAGGATTTTATTTTCTGATAAATAGGAAGGCATAGTTATGGAATACCATGATTGAATATATTGTCAGCTTTCCACTGACATAAAAGGCCATGGCATTTTTCATTTTTTTTTAATGTAACTGAAATTTTATGAATGAATGAATGAATGTTTTCATTTATTTATAGCTTTACTAGGTTATGATTGACAAAAATTATATACAACCTTAAAAAGGTAAGACATACAATGTGATGATTTAATATATGTATAATTGAAAAATGATTACCACATCAAGTTAATTAACACATCCATCAATTCATATTTAATCTACCCTTTAGTAGTCATGTAAAATGCAAACATATGTAAATATATAGGGGTGTGGTTCTGGATCACTACAGAGGGCACTTCATAAACACAACTGGACAAAGGCAAGGAGCTTCCTCCTTGCTGCTTTTACAACTCCACACACCCGTCAACCATCATCTTTTCAAGTTTATAATCAAGGCAATGATTTAACACATTGAACAGTAACTGAATGGTTGTTTACTGACTTTTCAAAGAAACAGAAGGAGACAAGAACAGTTACAGAGACACCATCCAAACTACAAATAACACGGTGTCAGAATGGTTTTGCCTTCTATTAGCAATTTGTCAATGTAAAGAGACTAGACAAACCAACATCACTAGATCATGCTTCCTTGCCATTGGTGTTTTGTAAATCAGAACTAAGCAAAAAGGGCTTGCTTTTCAGGGCAACTTAACTCACTACTTTGTAGGTATAGTGAAGGTGATCTGTTCAAAAAATAATATTACAAAAAGGGACATACACTAACATGGCTTTTAAAGGTCTCAGGGTCTTTGTGTAGCAAGAAATTATATAGTGTTAATCTTTTTGTATACATATGGGGGATAAAAATATAACCACCGTTACACAAATTTCTATGGTTTTCATATCTTCAATATTAATGTGGCATTCTGATGAAAGCATTTCTAATCTGATTAAAGATCTACTCTAAACTTCTATTTAGAAGACTTCTCCAGGGAAAGCATGCACATGGATTCACCCAAAGTCATTTGATCAATTAATATATGCAAAAACTCTCTTATAAATGTGCAGAGTCATTCTGACTTCCCTTTTTAATTTTTTTTTTTTTTTTTTTTTTTAATGAGAAGGCCCTGGAGATTGCTATGCTCCCTCTCCTAGCCAAAGTCATTCCTGACATTATCTTCAGTATTCAGACTTCCTTTGCAGTCATTTTATTTGTAATAGTGTCTTGTGTGTTGTGTCTCCTAGCTCTACATACAAACTACCACACTTACAATCTCCATGAACCTAAGTGCGTCAGTGGCGCTGGGGATGCTATACATGCCGAAAGTGTACATCATCATTTTCCACCCTGAACTCAATGTCCAGAAGCGGAAGCGAAGCTTCAAGGCGGTAGTCACGGCAGCCACCATGTCTTCACGGCTGTCACACAAACCCAGTGACAGACCCAACGGGGAGGCAAAAACAGAACTCTGTGAAAACGTAGACCCGAACAGTAAGTAACTTTCCTTTCCTTTCATCTTCCCCTGCTACATCCAGAAGCTTAAGGAACTGTAATATGAACTTACCTCTCTTTGCAGAAATATTATATCCATCCTTGTCTTAACCGAGTGGATTCCTGGGTGAATGCTAACTTTTGCTCTTAAGAGTTTACCTCATTCTTGCTCCCTTCATTTAATTTTTGCTCCCTATGAGAAAAAAAGCTCTTAGAGGCTCTGCTTCTCAAGTGTGAAGTTCCCTCCCACCCCTTCTTTCTTGTTCTTTAGTACCAAACCCTTCAAGTGACATAAACACACTGTCAGGTTGTGACCCACCTTTCTTGCTCTTTTTCTATTAGGGGAACAACTTCCCAGTAGGAAAAGTTTAACACTTGATTAAACTGTAGCAGTGGGAAGGAAATTGGAATATTTAGTAACTCAGAAAGCAAAACTCCTTTCCACTGGAATGTGAATGTGGAGAACATTAGGATTCTTCACTAAGCAAGCTTTCTAGAAACAAGAAAACACCCAAGTATATAGGCCATCTACCGCCATGCTCATGATGGCCCCACATGGAGGAAACATCTAAGACAAAACATTAGGGAGCGGATGAAGGGTGAAATGTTGCATTTGATACTTGTATCTCCAACCCCTGGGTAGCCTTTAGTGATCCCTGCAAATGACTACAAAAAGATGGACATACTTTTCAGAAAACAAGACCATTTAACTAGAGCTTGAATGCATAGAATTCCCACTGCTAATTTACTAACAGTATGGTGATAAGAGTGCATTTTAGATTAAAAATATTACTTCCAGGATTTGTTTTCTAGGAACAAATTGACCAGTTCCAAATAGGATGTGGCAGATTCTCATACTTCCTATTTTTAAAGTAGAGGGGGATTTAGGTTGTCCATTAAATCACTTAAGACATTTTTCAGTTATAAACTAATTGTTTCATAGACAAAAGCTTCTTGCCAAGCAGAAAGGAATCCCTACTCTAAATACTCTGAGGTAATTCTTTATACTCTGCAAGTAAGAGAGAGATCTTTAAAGGGCAGGAGACAACAGAGTTTTTGTTCCTGACAAATACTATGTGGAGATCCATGATCTTGGCTCATCTCCACTTCTAAGCAGTTGGCTGAGTGAATATTGTGAAACTCTGAAAATATGTAGATAAGGTACCAAAGACTTATTTACAGTGAGCTTCATTTTGACCCTCTAATAGAAGGCATTCTGGGACAAGGCAAGAGGAAAGACAAGGATCACACTGAGAGATGAGAGAAACAAAATCAATGTATAGGCTCTGTTCTTATGTCTTCAGAGCAAATGGTCAATAGAGAGGAGGGGAAGTGGATGTTGAATCCTGTGGTAATTGATAGGAAGAGGCTTCAGGTTGAGACAGACCTGGGTTCAAATCCCAATCACTCCACTTCCCAGCTATGTGGCTTTGAGAATCACTAAGCTTTCCTAAGGCTCAGCATCTTCATGTTTGGAATGGAGAAAATAATATGTAATAAGTATGTCATACCTATTATGCATCTAGAAAATAATGCATCAATTGTTATTGTCTTTTTATTCCTTAAAAGGCAGAAAGCTCTGCCTAAAAGTAAATGTAGAGTGATGGTACAGTTAAAGGCTGTATGGAGGTAGACAGAACTGATGCCCGAAAAGAAATATTTCTATAAACATATATGCTTAACTATTTTATGCATAGTTGTGTTGATAAATATACCTGCACATTTCTACTTCTGTAGTGTTTATTCTAGGACCCCTTGCATTTTTTAAAACCCTTATCCCAGAGACATTCCATTAACAATTTTACATGTATATCTGAACACACACAATTTAACTAGATATGTCCAAAATTCAGTAAGCAGAAAATTTTCTCAAGTGTCTATTTGTATTGAAAAAAAAAATGACCAAGTTAGAAGTTTTGAATTTGGACAATTCAGTATTTTGCTACTTAAAAATAATTAGTTTTCAAACAACATATCTATTGTTATTAACTTTAATGACTAGGTTCTATCCTTGTTGAAGTTGTTTTGGATATGATAATGGTTGTAAAATGCTAATACTAACACTAATAGTAATATTAATACTACTGATAATACTTACAATAGCTACCCTTTGAAATACGCCTTATCCAAAATGCTTTGGGCGGAAGATCTCTTATCCCTCACAGTAATTCTATAGAATGAAAATTGCTTTTTACTGAAGAAACCAAGGCTTAGTGAGATTATGTGCCATTATCAAAGTCACACATCTAGTTAGCAGTGGAGGTTGGACTGAAACCCAGGCTTGCTTCTCTTTGCTGTTCTATTTCTTACAATGTAAGTAGCATGTCATAATTCCAAAGCAGAAATTACTCTTTTGGCTTCCTCAACTGGTGATTCAAGTTGCATCTAAAGAAAATAATGATGTGTGTGGCAGACTCTTGAGTTAAATGTGCTGTGAAATGTATTATTGTTTGCTGTGTTGTCTAGAAAGATAGGAGTAACTTGAGTTCAAAGAAGGCTGCCCAGGTAGAGGCCTCATATTACTTATTTAAAATGTAAATAACTTATTATCTATGCTAGTCATGACAACTATGCTGTTTGGAATTCATTAGATGCCTTCCCATTAAAAAGTTTTGTTGGGTTTTGTCAATGATTTTTTGGTGTCTACACAGAGCAAAGATAAACAGTTCACAGGGGGAGAAAATGAAATCAAATAGAGTCCTCCTCTTACAAGCAGTCCAAAACAATTTAAAAATTGTTTGAGTTCTTTTGTTTTGTGTAGACACTCTCTAAAATAACAGAAGTAATTTGAATAGATATTTGCTGAACCGTAGGAGGAGATTCATGTACCTCCAAACATTGGGGTTTCTGATGATCCAGCTCCTATCCCCCTCTCCCAAAAATCAAATGACTTTATCCACACAAAATCTGTCCAATAGAGATTTCTGCAGTGACAGAACTGTTCTAGTCATAAGTGGCAAACCAGCACTTGAAATATGGTTACTTAACTAAGGAAATAAACTATTTTAAATAATTTCAATGTAAATAGCCATTTATGTTTATGGCTACTATATCAGAAAGCCCATGTCTAGAAATTAGTATGTCTTAATAGGAAAGGATTTTATCTAAGTCACATATTAGAAATGCCTCCCAAAATTTTAGTGGCGATGTTGACCTGGGACAAAACCAACTTCAAGAGATGAAACATTTGAGATGAGATAAAAATACAATTGATTAGTTATTTTCAATGATCCAAAAGGAGCCACTAATCTGGAAACAGTGGTATCATAGATAGTAATGATATTCAAAAAACCAGTCCTGAGCAATGCAAAAATGTATGTATGTAGGGTAACAGCAGTAATGAAAAGTTCGATTAATGAAAATAAACAGTTAAGACTACTCTAATGTGAAGGAATATTATTATAGTCCATGTAATACCAAATATAGCCCAAATATTCTCAAATTTCTAAACAATAACAGAGACAAAGGAATTATATGCTGAAATTAAGGTGTCTGGTTAAAAAGGAACAAAAGCATACACCATGTACTTGAAAAAGGAACATGTCTTTCCAAAGGGGAAATCCTGTACACTGTTCTATGAGGGAGGGTATCTGAGAGTAAGATGGGTTTATAGTATGAGCCTCAAAGTAAATAATGAAACAAAAATGTCCCCTTCATTGTTGCTCCAAACACTTAGTCTCAATGTATTTCAGTCTTGAGTGTTTTCATTTTGAACAGCTCTGCTCCGTCATTGCAGCTTGCCATCTGGTGCATGCATGCTTTTCCTCATCCAACTGTACACTGCAACTACATGTCTACATAAAAACAAATTTGCTTGTTGGCTTACCATGGGCAGAAATTACAACTGCCCCAGCATTGCCTGAGTTTTCCCCCAAGAAGCTCAGTTTTCCTCTAAGGTTGCTTCTTCCCTTAAAATTCCATTGTTGAAAAAAACAAAAACTTTGATGTGCAGTACACAAAAAGTAAATCTTAAAATTGTAACATATCTCTGCACTACGGACATTAGATATTCAGAGTTGGGCAAGGACTAGTTGGCTTCTGCATTCAGATTGAAATACAGTAGGGGACTTGGGGTGTAGCTCAGCTACTTGTCAAATTTTTATTTATACCAACAAGATTTCTAATGCTAGAGGATCAGAAGAGCCTGACCTACTTTGGATAGCTTTAGATCTGGCCACCATGATGCCTTCTCCATATTCCTTTCTAAGAAGAAGGACACCTCAAGCTATGGTTCTTGCATCTGCAGCCTGAATGCAGCATGTTTCCCTACACTTTCTATTGCTACTTGGCAGATTTATGTTCATGGCAAACGTATAGATGCCAAATAAACAAGAGGACTTGGTTGTGCTTGGGAGATGGCTTATTGATGGCCACCAGGACGCTTTTCCAGTTGGATGAATATTAACTGAGGTAGCATGGCTTTATAGGGATGGGTGGATAAGAATTGCTGCCTTTCTCCCCTGGACTGGTCAGAACCAGAAGATGCACTGCAAATTATCCTCTGGTCAGATACTCTCCTTGTGAAGGATCACAGTGTAAAGTGATGAGCAGCCCTAAGCTACATTTGTCCTAAACTGACATCCATTTTCTAAGCCAATGCCCCCAGGTAGTGCAGTGAAAGAATAAATGCCCATACTGGTTGCAGATAGTTTAGACTCAACTAGAGATGTCAGGCAGGTGGATAGCTTGGGATTCCCTCTTCTTGGTTGTGGGAATGTATGACTGATTAACTCTGAGAAAGAGGCTAGACATACACTGGGCCAAGGAACACGTTCTATAAGGAAGCATATTTTAGAAGAGCAATAATTTGTACCTAATATAGAAGAGCTAAAATAAGATATTTTAAATCTAAGTTTGTATTTTGATGCTGTTTTTTTACTACCATTTTTCCTTCTGTTCTTCAGGAAGTGAATTATTATATAAAATAGTTGAATTGTCAATATAAGGAGGTATTTGATTAAAAGAAAAACTCAAACTGTTTGAAAATGGATGTGGGCACA